GCACTTTGATTCATATCAGTTTGCTTACAAATGTAAAAGAAGCACATTAGATGCCGTTGCTGTTCTGCATCACAATATAGTGTTCGGGTTGGAAAAGGGTAAGAAGTATGTTAGATGAGCTTTCCTGGACTTTACTTCTGCTTTTGATTTTATTCCAAGACACTTCTTACTTAACAAGCTGATCAGCGTCGACACTGACAGCTGGATAACCAATTGGCTATGTTCCTACCTTTCTGGAAGAGAACAGTACACTGTATTTGAAGGAAAGTGTTCAACATCTCTACTGTCTAATGTAGGTGTGCCACAATGAGCTGTTCTTTCACCTTTGCTCTTCTCTTTTTTCTGCATGATCTGCCATCTTCCACAGAAAACACTTTTGTAAAATATGCGGACGACCTCACTGTATGTATGCCGATTTCTACCTCCTTACATCCCATAGAAATGAATGAGTTTTTATCTCGTATTGAAAGGTGGTCTGTTGGTAATGGTCTCTTACTCAATCCATCTAAATGTCAAGCTGTTAATTTTAGCTTGAGACATGGACAGAACCTACACTCTATTTTGGGATCCCATAATGCTTGTGCCATTGGAGACTGCTTAATAGACACAGTGTCGAAGGTCAAATATCCTGGTGTCATTTTTCCCTCTGATCTTTCTTGGTCTTCTCATGTTTTACTCTTATCGAAAAAAGTTTACCGTTTGACATACTACATAAAGAGGCTGCATGCTTTTGGGATTACTCGCCATTTACTCTTACAATTTGTAAATTCCTGCATATTACCTATTATTCTATATTGTTCTCCATTATTCCTTCCTGGGCTTTTGAGAAAAAACTTTGCTGTTTTGCGTAGAGTGCTGAAGGCGGTTTGCAAGGTATGTGGTGAATCTTTTGAAGTCATTATTAATATGCTTGTGGATAGACATCTTAAGTGTTGCAAACTCTTGGTAGCTGTTATCTTATCAGATACTAACCATCCGCTTCATTCATATCTTTCTCCTTGTATATCTTCTGGTAGAACGAGACGTAAATACATTAAAATCCATACACGCAAGCAAGTCTATAAAAGTTCTGTAATACCTTACTTAGCAAATTTACTTTGCGACGAACAGGCTGTTAGAGTTGACCTAGTAAATAACCTGTCTTCTTAAGCATGTTTCAAATTTGATAATTTGTATAAACTCAGTTTTTCTTGAACCTTTTTCATTCCTTTTCTGTTTTTTTGTTTGTTTTTCTTGGGCTTTTTTGTTTTTTTTTGGTAAAAAACTTGTCGAAATAACTCGTGCTGAGAATTCTATATTGTATCAGATTATAATAAAGCCATTAATAATAATAATCCATTTTGTTCGGCAAACTCGCGGCGTTCATGTATAAGCAGTTTCTGCTTCCAATTTGGAACGCGTGAGCTTCTTCCTATGTGTCTACATAAGCCTTGCGTGAGTGGACATGTAGCCTACCTATACAATGTTTACCGAGCTGGTAGTCCCTGTCCTTTACATGTTTTTTATGATCAAGACCGTCCACAAGTGGAATTGTCAGTTCCAGCTTGCGTTTATGCGTGATTTTGCTGTCGTGTGGCCTATCCGGATGCATATGGATGACAGTTGGCAACCGTCGTCTATTGGCACGAAATGCTTCCAGAGTTGCAGCCGCCATATGGGAGGAGGTGAAGGTTATCTTCAACAGCTGGGGTCTAGAGTCTCCGTCTTTCTTGGCTAGTCGCATCACCTGTTGGGTCAGTGTGTTTTTGAGTTTCAAGGAATGCTTAATGAATTTCCATTCCCGAATAACAAAGTTTTCTTGAGCTGGGTCCATATTTTCCGGTACACCTTTCACAATGATATTTCTTCCACGGAAAAACGCCTCGCGAGATTCCTTAGGGATGTTTCGGATGAGATTTTGCTCAGAATGCGGTATGTTGGGCAGTGTTCTTACATTCCCATCGGATTTCCACAAGTGACTCGCTAGCAGGACGTCCTCTACATCGGAAGCAAACTTGAGTGTTACACGAAGCAGCCTCGGGTGGTTCTGGTGGTTAGACTCTTTCCCTCGAGTGAGCTGTGTGACCGTCAAAGGCTCTATTCTAGGGAGTTCAAGCTTCTTGTTCAATTCTCCGCAGAGCATCCTATCACTTTTGTCCTGCAAACTGAGAGGAAGGTCTGGGTTGTCAATAAGGTTCATGATTATGACAGAGTCGTTACGGACCATTAATGATTTCCCAGGTTTACCAGGGCGTCCAGGTTCGGTACCTTGTTGTTTGGAGATCGAAGCGCGTTTTCGATTCATAGGCTCGTTGATGACCGGGTGGACAGTCTTGGGGGTAGACTGTGCGGCCGAGTCACCAAATGAATTCCGCACAGTACTTGGGATGTTCAGCTTAGGCGGTGACACTTGGTCCTTTTTACCCCTGTTAATGAGGGTCCAACCACCTACACGGTTTTGGGGAACCACTGTCACATTCAAGGACTCCTCTCTTGGAGAACCAAGTTTACTGAGGGAGTCGATCACCGTTGATGTTAAGATGGTTCTGAGTTTCAGCACTCGTGCTTTAACCAGCACTGTCGATAGTCGACCTACTGATATCCCTTTTTTGTATGCCCTGTGCGTCCCTGTTTTGCTACCCGTCGTGTTACTGTCATTTACCAAGTTTTTAGATGACTTGTTCCTCAGACCTGTCAGTAGGGTAATGGTTTTACGAAGCAAATCTACAGTATTCGTATTGCACGTAACAAAAACCTACCTACGACCAGACTTGCTAAGTCTGCTATACGCTTTTGCTGTTAAATCTGTGCACGCTTCGTGGAACCAAGCTTTGCATTTGTCACACTGCATGCCAGATGTAACAGCAAAACGGCAACCAGGTCTTTTGCATGAATTCCTCATGACTAATGATATAGACTGTCTTATAATTACAAGCAGTGAGTCTAGGACCGTTAAAAGAAACATAGAACACAAAAACGGGCAAAAGTGGATAAAGACGGGTTACGATAAGCTAAAAACTAGCCTTTACGTGAAACCTAAAAAAAACCGATAGTGAGCTGAGGCGAAACCACAGTTAATTATTAAGTTGAGTCAAACTCAAAAAAAAGTAATCTGCCGAATGTGTAGCTCAGGATAGATACTTTAGATCAGAAATGGTACTTTTGTTGAGTAAGAACACAGCGAAAGTTTGAGAAATGAAAATCACGTAAGTACTAAACTTCCCGTTCGAAAAGCGAGCATTCACATAGGCTTCCAAGTCTCACCATCTTATAGGTTATATAACTCGAAACCTTTTAAACAATGAATCACGTATTTTACTGTACGAAGTCTGTGTTCGATCACTCCTAGAATGCTGCGCGTTTATTCTTAGTAGTGCGCGCATAGAAGATATATTAAAGCCATTCAGTATGCAGAAACCTCTCATTACGACACACGTAACTGCTTGCCACTAGCGAAACAAACACATTCTAAAACATCTCTCTATATGAATTACTTTACCTATAAGTTTTCTATACTCTGGAATAATGTATCACAATCTGTCCGTACGACAAAATCTCTCCCACTGTTTGTTCGCTGCACTGATGCATGCTGCTCCTCTGAAAATGCATTAAATGTTCTACTACCAGTAAGTGCATCTTACTCCACTCCAACTAACCTTCGGGACTCATATTATTGAAGATACGAATAGTATTCTGATTTTACAACCTGCTACCAGTAGCACCTTATATATGCGAAGCTTTCCCCCGATCAATGGAAATCAGAAGTCAGACGAGAAGAGGTAGGAAAGATGTATTTGATACGTTATCAATATATCGTGAAGCGCTTATTCTAAGCTGGCTAGTGAACGTAGGAGCAGTGTCCCACGCTGGGTCGAAACGTGATCTGGTATGGATGTATCACCGAGAGCCTTCAGTTAAACAAGTCCACTTAAACAACGTGGTCAGCATCCAATGTCGAACACTTAGAAAGCTATTGACTTTGGGGAATTATTTACAGCTACATTATCAACAAGAATACTACTACTTGCGGCTGCAGTGAATTATTTCCTCGTTATATAATAACGACTCTCCAAGCTTTCCTAATTCTCAAAATCTGTATTCACATGCACTTACAATCCGAAAGAAGATACGAGATCCCACAAATACAGAAATTCAGAAGAATTTTTGATAGAAAGATTTGATTAGAAGCCTTCATCTCTCTAACACTAATAGACTTAGAATGACGATGAACATGAGGGACGAATCGACTACTTATCTTAGAGCATAACGCTGTATTGTAGACAAAAAGTTGTATATTATGGAACAAGCTAGGGTTGTCATCGCATTGTCGTTCTGCAACCAGTCTAAACTAAAGGTGAAGAATACTTATAAACGTCTTCGTGAACATCGTAGAAAATATGTACACCTTTTCCAATATCAGTACATGAAATGTAAGGAATCGGTCAGCTGAAACTTTGGCAACTCCTCTCTAGAAGTGTCTTAAGTCGAAGAAGATTTGTGAGTGCTGGTATCTTCCCTCACTCCAAAAGGCTAAGGACACTCTGAAACGCATCCAACGGTGAGCCACGAAATCAGTTTGTGGACTCAAGCCTTATGAAGAGCGCCTCCAATCACCGAAATTTTACCTATTAGAGTACAAGTGTCTCAGATGTGGCCCTTTTTATGGCTTACAGCATCCTCAACAATTCTGGGGATTCCCTTAAACATCTATATAAGTATAGCTCCAACACAAACTTTGAGGGCAACACCCAGAAACTGGATACTCAACACAACAGAACGGATTGTAGACATAACTTCTATTCTTTAAGAGTTATCAAATGCTAGAGTTCGCTGCCGGCTGAACTGGTCCAAGAGATTTCTCTGGAGTCCTTCAATAGGAAACGTGACCTATTCTTAAGGACTAAGGATAACACATTATCATGATTTACCAAATTCTTTTTTCCTCTATCATCGTTAATATACCTAGGTTCTTGCCTGGACGTATTGATGATCCACTGATACTAGATACGGAAGCCCGTTAAGCGAAAGCTTCTTCTATTCCGTCTACAACCATTTGAACTATTGTCATATATATATTGGACAAAACACAAACTAGACAATTTGAATGGGCCCGTCACTAGCTGGTATTGTTAAAGATGCAGTTATGGAAGTCTTAGTTTGATATGCGATTGTCCCAGACTATTTTTATTCTGAGTGGAAAATTTGCTGACCACTTTATACGATTTGGTGGGTACACTCCCACTCCCTTATCGTTGAAAAAGCTGATTGCATTTGGTAAAGTTGGCTCTGTCCAGAAGTCTGCATCATTCTTGGCTTATGAACTTCCTGTTCGCCTGGCAAATATTTTGCAAGAAATTCATTTACTCCCTGAACGACTCGTCAGAACCCCTTCTGCATCTCTTGTGAGACGATGGTATGTTTAATTAAAATAAATATACTCCTATAGGTACGAGCAAAGCTTCTGCGAATTAATGGACTTCGAAAAAATGGAATGGGACGAAAAAAGTTTAAATCAGTTCAACGAAATCCTCGCCAGTATTCGTAGTCGTCACACGACTGTCGTTGAAACGATGGCACAGGTTTCTGTGTATTTCTTATTCGATATGCTAGATATGTAATCCAGGGTGTAATGGAAATGCAGGAAAACTACAAGACTGATATAGTTACCAGCAACCAGGTGCAGTACTTCTTGGACAGGTTTTATATGATGAGAATCAGTATTCGTATGCTGCTTAGCCAGCATTGTAAGTATGTATATTAAACCATGAAATTTTCAAATGTTTCTTACCATTGTTTAGTTGTTCATTATCCAAAACAACTAGGTGCATCAAGAATTTTTACTGTGTAAAACGTACCCATGTTACACATGTGGTTAAATGATCTAACCTAGTCCGTTCATATTTTTTTATCTAATGGCTTTATAAATACTTAAGGATTAAAATCCTTTCTAGTGGGCTTTTTAAATCCTTTGAAAGACTAAATAGGTAACATTTAAGCTAGTTTAAAATGAGTTTGATGGTATCGTATTGAGGTAAAAAAATTTCAACTGTTTTTTATTTCAGTGCTTATGTTTGGTTCAGAGTTGAATAAACATAGAAGATACGTAGGCTCGATTGATCCTGATTGCAATGTTCGAGAAATATTGGATGATGCACACGAGGATGCCAAGTTTCTTTGTGAGCATTACTATTCGGCGGCTCCTGAAATGGAGGTCCGGGTGCATAGTGGTAAGTTCTTAAATTCAATTAGTTTGTCTTTGTGTTCAATACTTTGAAATCCGTTTCACAATGGTCCTGATTGTAAAACGATATGTGAACATGTGACGCGATATACAGACTTACTCAAAGCAACGATACTAAAGTATTTGTTTCCAGGTGACACTTCGTTAATAACGTAAAGCTTGTAGTGTATTAAATTCGGGGTATAACTTCAAGTCATTGTAGTATTGAATTTCACCGTCCTTCGAAATTCCTTGGTACCTCACCAGATTGTCTGTTTCAGTTAATACATGGATAAAAGTCGGACATTTTACTGTGATGAAACAATATTCACTGGCATAATAACATACATTTCACTAGTATAAAGTCAAAATTATGTACAAGGTTTTCAAATCTTGCGAATCTTATGTTCTTGCTTTCAGTTAACTTATCTGCTCTTGGATTTATGCACATGACCAGAATTATAGAACTATAATAATTTTAAGAGGAATCACTCTGGTTAATTTTTTGCACTCATGATGGTTCCACAATGCATCATGTGCTTTAGACAAATTTTAATCTTGTCAACAAGCAACGGTTGGGCCAAATACTTTCAGTATCACTATGTAAACTCAAAGTAAGGATAACGAGATACGACAACATATGGAATGCCTTTGGACTGGTCTTTGATACACTTAGACTATTGTATCCTATACTTAATTCAGTGAACTTTTTAAATCAACAAACTTTAGTACTTAATAGTCATCATATATTAAAGTTTTGTACCGAGTAAAAATTTATGCAATTCAGATAACTGGTGATTCCCTTTGCTTTAGAATTACACATAACTACTGATAAAGCGTCAGTATTAGTTATTTATTATCACCGTCGTAATTTTTTAAAGTTGTTGGTTAGCTAACTTGTGCTATCCAAATGTGCAACTGATTACCATAGTTATAGCTCTGAGGAAAAGTACATTGTAACTTAATAAAGTTGACTGTTCTAATAGTCTTGATGCGGATTACTACAGAGTATACCAACCTTTGATCGTATATCTTTAGACATTCTTCAAAACCATAAATCACGGTTATAAATTTAGGTAGTTACTCCTGTTGACGTGATATATACCCGTAGTTAGCACTTTAGTTTTAATAGTTATATTCATGAGTCAATTCAGTCAGTCAGTCAGTCAGTCAGTCAGCTACAACGTAGGACCAGGCACGTTTATGCATCGGTCCAAGTTGCCATACCTCGTTAGCACAACAAGATGAACACCGGGTTCATAGAAGTAATTAATTTAGTGGTGGTAGTAGTATATAAATTATAGGTTGTATATAAGGATATAGTACAGCAAGGAAAAACGTTATGAAGCAATTTTAGTTTCAAGGTTTAAAGGAAGATAAAGAGTGTATACACCTACGCCATTGTGATCGATTCTGAGCCATGTCACGTAGAGTCTGCAACCATTGGTTACGATAGTCACGCGGACCCCAACCAGGTAGTCTGCATCTACCAACATGGCTCAGACTAGAAGTTAGTGACTTCAAACACTGATGCCATGTTTTGGTTTGGCCGCCCTTAACTCTCTTCCAACAATCCCCTACACTAGTCATCATAGCGCGTCGTGGTAATCGGTGTTCAGGCATACGTAACACATGGCCCAACCATCTCAGTCGATGAAGATTCATCACCTCATCAACTGATTTACCATCGTTCCCTAATACCCTGCGTCTAACCTCACTATTACTTACCCGGTGATCCCAGCAGATGCGAGCAATATTTCTAAGGCATCTGTGGTCAAATACTAGTAACCTACGAGTATCTTCTACTCTTAATGGCCATGTTTCACAACCGTAAAGTAGAACAGAGCGAACTGATGCGCAGTATACTCGTCCTTTAATTGATAGACGGATATCTCGTCTTCGCCATAGGTGACGTAAGTTGGCAAAAGCCAAACGAGCTTTTCGAATCCGTGAGTCAATTAAAGCTAGACCATCATAGAAACCTGGAAGCATTGGACGGCCGTTTCGTTCTAGTATAGGACTTCTCAGCAGTGCGCGTTCACGATCCTGCCCGCGGGATTGGAACCAAGGACCTATCATATCAGATGCATTTTTAGTGATTGGGAATATACCGTTTTCACTATTAACATAAACGATTCTCTACACTTGACGTTACTTGAAATAACGATTGGTTTTCCAGAACGTTCATAGTTTTTTTCTAATATTAAGTCTAACAGATTAAGAGTTAGGGGGTGTTCATAATTTAGATTTGACGCTTTCTTACATTTTGTATGTTTTTGATTATGTTAGTTGCTTCGGTCTGGGCACTCGGGCAGTTTCACAGCCCACACACAAATCAAGTGACTTGTGCGGCGCATATGTATTCGGTGCCCTTTTGTACCAATATTTATGTGTTCAAATAAATTGCTTCTATGTAACTAATTATTATTTACATTATTTAGCAATTTAAGTTATAACATGACCTAAAGAGCTCAATGATCTTGTAATCCGATATAGTCAGTAGATCATTGTTGTCCATTGATAAAATGTTGCTCTCTTGAGTTTCTGAACAAAACATTTTGAGGTAATTATAAGTTGAAACATGAGATATGTGAATTTAGAGTGCTTCGGGTGTTTTGTAGAGATACAGAGGAATTGTATGAGTGTTTTTAGGCTATTATACGCAACTAAGTAATCTCGTTTATCGAGTCCATTAAAACGGCCGGATCACACTTCACAAAAGTCAGTTGTATAACTGTGGGGACCAGGCACCTGGGTTTTGTAATATTTATCCACCCTATGAGGGGCATCTGGTTTCCTAGGCTTTATTTTATTAAAACAAACTTTATGCGTCGTGATTAACTAATTGGGTGTTAATATGACCTAGATTTCGTCAGTGTAGCTAAGCGGTTGTAATGGTGAGTTTGTAAAGCTATGTAGCACACCATCTTTTTCAACTTTCAGCAGCTGGTAATCAGTAATCAATATAGGATCCGGCACAAATGTTGAGTGCCTGGGAATAAATTACCACAGGACAGTTTAGAAACAAATGCTTATTCTATTCAAATCATATGCAACCGAATAGTGAGACCTGCGCAAACATCGATACTTAGATATCAAGATAAACGCACTAACAAATGAATGTTTGTTTACGGAAAGTTAACCGAACTTTTAAATTTGCTTATAATCGTTTAGCTCTATCCTACCGTAACACGGAGTCAGCCAAAACAAATGAATATCATCTAAGTATCCTGAAAATGATACCAGTGCCAAATTAGCACTGACATACGTTTCACTTTGGTTATCTCCAAAGTCAAAGTCACAAAAACTACTAAAGATGTCAGTCAAGTTTGGAATCGTGCTGCCTATCATGTGGTCAAGTACTATGTATCTTTGCCAAAGCATGTGAGTCAAGCTTGTTGATTAACATATTCAATGTAAAGTCGGATTTGCGCAAAACATTATTCATGGACTAATAATACAAGACCGATAACTCATTTTCCTTATCACAAGAGTATGAATCTATGCAACCAGTGTTTGAAGGTCAATAACAAGGAATGCATCGTGACATAAAATCAACCAAAGTCATTCACTTTACGTATGGTCTACGTTTGGTTCATCAATCCATTGTTCGTATGCGGCTACTCAACATGTTCAAGCAAAAATCAACTGTCACTGACAACTCTGTAAAGAAAAGCCAGCGGTAAAGCTAATAGGCAATCCAAAGTCAAATCAATCAGGAAGAAATTTTAAAAAATCCAGAAAATGCCTGAACTCATACTGCTTTTGGGCTAGTTGTTTTTCCATCACTTTCTGCTGGAGCTGTAAACTGTACTTAGATGGCTGGATCGTTAATAAAGGACTTAACGTCGGTGGCTTTCCCATATGGTATACTTGTCGGATATTTTTACAACGTACAATAACATTAGGAAATCATATGTTCACATGTTAATACACACGTGTACAGAAGCAGGTGAATAAGATCTAAAAGATGGTCAGAGGTGAAAATAACTTGATTCAACAAGTTTTCAATGGATGTTTTTTAGCTCCGTTTCAGCGGTAAGCTACTTTATGGGGACTGAAATCACTGAATATTTTGCTACAGTATGATGTGACTCAAAAGTCAGAGATAATGGATTCATTAGGAGGATAAAACAAAAATATTTAGTTGGATTTTCTGGTATATCGAAACCTTATATTATGAAGTAGATTGGTTGAATGTTTTCCAGGTGTTACAGTTGTATGGTCATAACATTGACAAATATGACTTTGATCTTAGACATTTCTTGGGATATCTGGTTGTGTGAACGGAAGTCAAAGGGTTATGTGGAACAAGGTAAATGTATTTCCATGTATTCGTTTATTTTAATGTCTTTCAGCACCGAGGAGTCGAAGAAAGATTGGGATGCGATTAAAAACTTACTTATTTATGCCTGCTGACCCTAGTGGAGGATCATAGGCAGCCCACCAGCATTCTCCATCGAACTCTGTCCTGAACAATCCTTTCCAGTTGCTGTTAATTCTTTTGATGTCTGTTTATCATTCTAGGCTCAGTGTGTTCTTTGGCCTTCCTCTTTTCCGCTTCCCTTCCGGATTCCAAGTTAGGGCTTGCCTCGTGATGTAGTTTGATTATTTCCGTAATACATTTCCTATCCACCTCCAGCGTCTTTTCCTGATTTCCTCTTCATCTGGAAGCTGGTTTGTCCTCTCCCATAGTAGGTTGTTGATGATGGCATCCGGTTAACGGACATTTAGTATCTCGTGTAAACAATTGCTTATAAATACTTTTACTTTTTTGATGATGGTTGTAGTAGTTCTCCGGTTTTCAGCTCCGTACATTAGGACTGTCATGACGCTCGTATTGGAGATTCTGACTTTGATATTGGTTGATAGTTGTTTTGAGTCCCATATGTTGTTCAACTGTAGGACATCGGCCCTGGATTTGCCAATCCTCACCTTTACGTCTGCAACGGATCCTCCCTGTTCATCGATGATGCTGAAGAAGTACGTGAAAGTTTCCACCCCTTTCAGAGTCTCTCAACCGAGTGTGGTTTGTTTGGTATTCTCTGTATTGTATTGAGAATCTTGGTTTTTCCTTTGCTTATTTTTATAAAAGGTAGAACCGAAAAGGGAATTCACATTATTTGAGAGGATTGTAGTAGCTATAAATTTTGTGAAGTATACATTTTGTTCACTGGTTGCTTAATTATTTTCAACCGTTAGGCTGTAGACCCAAACTTCATTTAAACTAGATATTTAATAGTGTGAATACTAGGATATTGAGAATCTAGCATTCATGATATCGTTTTCTGACTGTTAAAATTTTAACATATCTTGAATTTAAATAAATCCATGACATGACTTAATGTATCATAACACCTCACCGCAAATTAGGCTTTTCACTCTGGTATCGACTGGTTTTGTCAGTCCAAATTAAATCGTTAATATATTGATGATTACTTTTAGGATTGGAAAATTCGAGTCATTCCGTTCCGTTTCAATTGCCAAGCGTTAGCGCACAATTAACTGTGTTTATCTGCACATGGATGCCAAGTTGTATATTCTCTTTTAATCGTGGCGTCTCGCGTAATTGTTTATGATAAGAGTAAAATATGAAATATAAGTTGTTTCCCATCCACATTTCAGTAGTGTATCAACCAATTCACTGAAAAAATAAAGGGTGTTGAGCATATGTGCATCTGTATACCGTTATACTAATTTTTCTAATGTATGCAAGTTTTAATCAAGTATCGGGGAAAATCTATGAAACGAAAGCTTTATTTGTGCTTATAGTTTCATTTAAGGACGTATCTCATAAAGTAACCTGTTTGATTTATTCACAAGTAGTTTCCGATCACAATTACCCCCATCTTTTCATTTATAATGTCTATATAAAAATGTATATGTTACTATCAAAATGAGGAATTTTCGATTACTTCGTTTTTTGCAGGTGACAATGCAAAAATTGAATTTGTCTATGTGCCTTCGCATTTGTATCATATTTTGTTTGAACTACTGAAGGTAGGTTTTTATGTTGTCAATTTTTTCATGTTTAAATTTCACCAAAATTGTTTATCTACATGAACATGAATGATTTATAGGAAAAATGACTTCAAGTAGTTTGTTTCGATAACCTCATAACAAATTGCTCGAAATAAAGATCATGTTACTTATATTCATAGGCGAACGAAAAGTGTTATAAACTATAAAAATATTACTACTAAAATTTAACTTCGTAGTTTCAAGCAGACTGAATATAATATAGTTTGTTTATTATAGTATTAATGTAGTAACAATGTACTGAAAAGCAAGAAAATGACATTTCATGACCCCATATGTCTTTTACAAGGTAATACAGCTTTAGGTAGTATAAATAATCAATCGAATCATATATGGTCAGTGAACACAAACAAGTTTGGGGATGAAATCGTTATGTTTGTCGAAAACCATGTGATTTAGTGAGTATGTGGATGGGTGTAAATAAATGTAAGATTATGCCAAGGACAAATGTTCCTCGTCTAATATATAAGTTCATAAGTTATAAAAACCTTGGTGACTTGGTTTATCTTCGATATTCTCTGAAAGAAGTCACAACTTCACAAAATTACCCTTTACTACAAAGTGCATCACAACCAATGTAATCCAAACTCTAGTCACAACTTTCTGTTGAAACTGATGGGTATGTCTTTTATTTGAACTAAAGACTTCAAAAGCTTAGTCTTGGTTTTATGAAGATCTTTAACGCAACTGTGTTCTATAATTTATCAGTTTTTCTTTTCTACTATTGAATTTCTCACTATATGTGTTGGTAGAGCATCCTATTTCAGGAATAATGAGTGGTAGATAAGTTCACTGCTGAGTTACAAAACCTGGATATACGTCTTCGGCTCAATGATATTGGGTTACAACAACGTCCCTGAATTCACTTGTTCTATGTCCTCATTACCCGGAAGTTGTCTTCTACCTACTGTTTATGAGAAACCACAGATTCCCTTAGTTGAACTTTGATAAACTCCCTGTTCAATCGAATCAGCTTCCCATTTAATTTATGATGTCATTAATAACACTTTTAAAGAATCGTTTAAGGTAACATAAAAAAGTACCTTTCTGATCAATAAATGTAGAGTTTGAATCAATCTGTTTTCATTACAAGGAGTCGTGGAACTAAAATAAGTGGGGATTTGAAATTTAAACAAGTTGATTATTTTCCAGTCCATATATTAGTCAGTGTATTAGATCTTTATTCGTATGCTTCTTAAAATCTCATTTTAAAGTTATTTTACCCTATTTTAAACTTAGTTTATTAGCTAAGGAAGCTTAAGTATTGCTATTAGTATATATAGGATTAATATTCTATGTTTGTGTTAATTTTTATTCTTCACAGAATGCCATGCGAGCAGTGGTGGAGCACCATAGTAGTGCTGATCACCTTCCTCCCATTAAAGTCTTGATAGCAACTGGTCAGGAAAATGTGACAATCAAAGTAAGAATAATTTGGAATAATTTACACCTCAGTAATAAGTTTTATGTGCATTATAATTTGTTCATTAATGTGTGTGTATATATATTAAGAGTTGATTATTACTGAATAACTGACAAATTAGAGTCTGGTGCAAACGTCTGTTAGTCCAAGTCGTTATACCACTACAGTATGACGAGATGAAATTGATATAATAACTATCAAAGTAGTTTTGATAATTGTATTAGCAATGTTAGTAGGGGAAGACTAAACATTGTGAATATAATTATGTTGTATAAATGATATCGTAGTGTCTGTTTATAAACCCTAACGGATTTTTTTCATGAAATGTATTTCGTAAAAAGCCATCCGGTGTTGTGATAGAACTTGTCATAATTTACTTTCCTTTGCATTCACTTAACGCGCTACTGACATGAAGTTGCAATGCAGTTCCTGCGACTTCATACTTACCTAGTTATTTTCCAAAGGTTGAGGTGCTTTGATGTAAATCGTATCTAAGATAGTTTTATGACAGATAAGATGTTTCTGTTCTGGTGAGAAATCATAAAGTGTTGTAATTGGGTTTTTCGATTACAAATATCTGTTTTGAAATGATTACGTTTGGTATAAAAACCGAACAGTTAACGTTGTAAGGTAAAAGATTACGTCATATAGTGACTAAAGATTCAACAGCTATTGGAGATCAGGGCGTACTGAACAGCCTACATTTTTTCCTAGTATGGGACTCTTCAACGTTGTACATACACTACTCTACCAGATATCCAATATCGAACCTTTTTAAGCAAACTTGTCATCTTTATGTCACTGGGATCATGTGCTTCAGTCGGTATATATATATATATATATATATATATATATATATATCAATTCAACATTTTGTAGCTGAGACTCAAATACTATAAAGTATTGAATTAGCCCCCCCCCCAAATGCCCTGGTACGGCCGAGAGTGGGGAGAGTCACCTCTCCCTCTCGAAATACTCTCATATTTCCAGCGAATATATAGCCTCTGCCAGGGAAGTCCTACTCACTGCCTTCTCGTGGCGGGGCGTTGTTTACGAATGTGAGAGGACGAAAAGCGAATGTCCGGCGCTTTAACCGGGTTGGTGGACACGGAGGGTCCACCTAGGGGAGTTGGAAAACCCTGATTCCAAACCAGTGGTGCACATGGGCTCCAGTATCCTGATGGAACGAATGGCGGACGAACCTGTCATTGGTCAACGGCTACCATGGGACTGCATCTCCTCACGATGCTCCACTGCCTTGTGGATCAGACATTCAGGTCAAAGGCTCCGGGTGTGGCCCCCTAAGAAAACCACCTGCTTCAGTCTGGGCACCTGGGCAGTATCACAGCCCTCACACAAATCGAATGAGATTTGTGAGGCGCATATTTATCTGGTGCTTCATTGTACCAATATTTATGTGTTTAAATAAATAAATAAATTGAATTAGCTGACATTGAAATACCGGCATTAAACCTGTTCGCGTACAAGTTATGAAAAGGAAATTTATGAATTCTGAATATATCAGAAGGGCTTTTGTGAATATCATAGTAATTTTAATAGTTGAGATCATGAGTCATTTGAAGCCAGACCACCATGAAAGTTAGACATTAACACCGTTGGATGCCGGTTCAGTGGTTTAGAGGTTGAGCGCTTGCGTGCGAAAATGATAGCTCCTGGGTTCGAATCTCGCTAGGCAGGATCGTGGATGTGCACTGCTGAGGAGTCCCACAATAGGACAAAACGACCAACCAGTGCTTCCAGGTTTTTGATGGTGGTCTAGCTTCAATTGATTCATGATCTCAACTTTTAAAATTCTGATTATGTAAATAGAAGTGTAGAATAAATTTTATCTGAAAATTTGAATTTTATGAATATCCAATAAAGTACCGTATTATTGGATGATACCATTTGACCCTCATTGATCTCGTTGAATGGTGTGAACTTGATGAAAACTGTCTTTTATTTCATTTTTGTTACAATTATTTATTAAGGAATTGTCGCGTATGCCTATTCCATGTACTACATATGACTACCAATGTGGTGAACGAGAACACAAGTGGGGACAATCAAATATATTTGAACACAAAATTACAGAACATCATAGTAAAATCTGAGAACCATACAGTGAATACTTAATTTACAAAATGTCAATCAATTGTCTGAAACTTGACTGTTCCTTTTGCAAATATCAGTCAATCGTCTCAGACTTCAATGTTCTTACATTTCCATACCAATTGATTTCTGTTCCCGTTCTTTCTTCCTCGATCTTCTTGAGCTTCTGCTACCAGACATTCTATTCCTGACTAGCGTTATGTACTACTTATGTCTACATAATCCATTTCTTCTCATTTGAGTCTTCTCATTATTTGTAGTCACATTTTAGTGGCAGCTTTGAAATGTATGACTCGTCCTCGAATGCAAGCAGTATTCAACAGTTGGTATCAGTTAGTTGCAGTGGTTGATAACTGATTGAGTTGGTGTGTTTAATATTCATATACTTACTGTCTAAATATTTTTGGCTAGTAAAGAATTATGATAGTAATAATAGATAGTCGTAATATTGTTGCTGTTGTTTTGAATCTTTTCTAAATCAGATTTCTGATTTGGGTGGTGGTATCCCACGATCTCAAATGGATTTAGTTTTCAATTACACTTATACAACTGCCCGGCAGGCTGAACGATGCGGTGAACCATCTTTATCGTCCATGGAACTCGGACCTCCTGATCAAGGAACCAATGCTCCAATGGCAGGTTATGGTTATGGTCTTCCACTTAGTCGACTATATGCAAAGTATTTCAATGGTGATCTTATACTATCCAGCGTAGAAGGTTACGGAACTGATGCTATAGTATATTTAAAACGTAATGCTGCTGAGGCTGACGAACTACTTCCTGTGTTCAATCGTACATCTGCTAAACAATATGGAAGTGCTAGTATCCCGGTCGCTGACTGGTCTAATCCTCATATAACAACTGGTTGGCGACGGAATTAAATATCCCTTTATTAAATCACATTTTCACCATAATAAAAAGTTTCTGACTGGCATTTTATCCTTTTTTTGGATCTCAATACTTTAGTTTTCCATTTTCCCTCTTCCACCCATCACCATTAGATTTTACCTTGGCACTATAACGCACCAGATGACATCAATGTGAAGCTCAAAAAAGTTTATCAATAGTAAATTTTAGAGTTTTCGAAATTCCTTTTGTTCTCTGGTGAATATATTTCAGAGAGGAATTCATTTATTTAAGTAACGCTTCTCCATTTCAATTCCTATTGTTATGTATTTCAACTTTTCTCCTTTTAAAAGTAATTACACATTCAGTGTGTGTACTCTTATGAGTAAAATAAGATTTTCTCCCATCATTACATGAAATCTATTGTTCTTAACGTCCGTTTATTTATTATTGTTTGTTATTTCCAGGAAATGTTTTAGGTACCAAAGGGAAGCAAAAGGGAAACAGAATGTCTGGAAACATTTTCGATTCATCTTATAGTCTTACATTAAATGTCTTAAGAAACACTCTCTTAACATTTTATAACTGACATTAATCTTATCATTAAAAAATTAATATTTTTTTGTTTTCTGTTTTTACTGTTGTTTTTATTTTTCATATTCTTCATCTGACTGACTGACTGACTGATCTTTTTCATCTAAATCATCTCATTCCTTCCGAATATGTAACAAAAGACATGTAATTCAATATATCTGCTAAAAGATCATTAAATGTCTTTAATCATTTGCTTTAACAGTGTTTGTTGAATTGTAGAATATTTTTGTTTATTCATATCATACTGATTTTTTCAATTTCAAATAAATTTTTTTGTTCATAAATAAATTTTAGTTTAGTTTAGTTTAATATTTTAAAGTTATAGTCAGTTTAGACTTGTAGGATGCGAAAAATGCTTGCAAATAGTAGTTTTTGAATTTTTCTGTTATTTTGTGTAAAATCGCGATAATACCTAGAGGTTTTTTAATTTTGTGTTGGTCAAGTAAACGAATCATAAGGTCAGAAGAGGGTTTTATGGATATTATCATACATTAATAGTTGAGTTCACGAGTCCATTGAAGCTAGACCATTTCTTCCTAGTGTCGGACTCCTCAGAATTCGAACCCAGGACCTATTGGTCTTGTGCTCGAACACTTAACCTTTAAACCACCGAGCCGATATCCAATGATGTTTTGTTTAAGTTCAACCAATCCACGAAATTGAGCCAACGTCCACCATTATCTTCAGTGAGTTAATATCTCACAACAGATCTGGTTGAACTCCACTGGTCACTGCTTCTCACTAGAACTCCGGGAAATAAGATGACAAAATTTTTTTAACTAAATAAGTTTTCATGGTAATATCTTATCACATTTTCGTTGTGAATTAACCTTAGATGGATAATTTTGACAAACTTGGTTTTCTCATCGCATTATTCAGATCTAGATGAATAGTCATTGGACATAGGAAAGTATTCAAAATTTTTTCATTCTATTTAAATTTCAAATATAATTTTCACAAATAATGTCTTCTCTATACTCGGCATCCAATTTCTATCACTATTCGTTCAAATGTTGACAAATATTCGCATTAGTGTTTAATAATAAATATATTTTTTGTTATATCCCAATCAGTAGGAAGTTTGTACTTCTGACGTTTCGTGACTCAATGTCAGCCACTTCTTCAGAGTAGATAAGTAATCTAAATGTTTTGTTTAAAGGGAAATAAACCTTATAATTACTGTTGATTTGAGATTACTTCACTAGTCTCGTATTCAATCGAGTTAATCTGTTTAATTTGCTCTATTACAGACTATATAATAAGATTTGAGATTACTTCACTAGTCTCGTATGCAATCGAGTTAATCTGTTTAATTTGCTCTATTACAGGCTATATAATAAAAGGAGAAAAATCATTTACACTAAATGGTTTTGTAAATACCTAGTTTTTGGCGTATTACCCCATTATGTACAATAAATCGGTGTTATTTAAACAAGCTGAAGTGTCAAGATTATCAGTTACGCTGAAATAAACGTTACTTGATAAAACCAGACAGTAAAACAGTTGACTTATTTTCAGCATGATTTGTTGTTTTAAGAGCAAAATCGTATTTTCCCGGCGTTTTAGTTCAATCAGTTATGGAGTAATATCACAAATCCGTATGTTTAATGAGTTTTATTTCAGCGTCATCCTTGAATATGAATTACTCCTGATGTGGGAGTATGTCATCTATATAGACTTATTAATGAATAAAAATTATGTTCCTGGCTGATCTATAAAAGATAGTAAGTTTGATTTTATTTTATTAGTTGTTTGAGTAGAGTTGAGTTTGGTGCATAAACAACGGAATCTAAAGTTCAACTCCTTTGTCATTCATGTTAGGTGCAAAAGTTAGGTCGGCCGATCAAGTTCTCATGCCTTAACGATTCAGACTACTAAACACACACGTCATCGCTACCCACTTTACCTATTGCTGTCGCTCTGATTCGTATAAACAGTCTGGCTTTCTGGATACATAGCTCGATATGAAATAAGCTGAATAGTATAACACCATTTCGTTTCCACTTATACTAATGTAGTTTGTCTTTATTTACTTCCCGGAAATGTATTTTAATATTTCGATAATTTTCCTCCTGTAAAATAACGTCAGTTCAATTTTCTTTACCTGGTCCAGCATCACTGTGTTTATTTCAAACAGTATTAATGACCATAGATGAATCTTCTTTCGCTATAGAGAAGCATAATTCATTCTTACAAAACTACCAAACAGGTTTTTTGATACTAACATTTATTTCTGTTTTCAATCGTTTTGCTAACAAAGAAATAATTTGGAATGTAGAAAACTGGAGCATGAAAACAATCTTTGTTGGTATTAATCACAGTTACATAAAATTGTATACTTGACTATCTAATCTGATTAAAATCATAATGTCTGTATGTACACTTGCCAACGAGTTAACAAATTACCCTAGTGGATCATGATTGACCAATCAAATCTAAACTTTAAACTTATGTGAGCCACAGAAGTGTACATCATATTTTTTAATTACTAGTAACTTGGCGTTCTGAAGATTGAATATAAAAAACCAATTCCTTATTATTTATGACTTACAGACTGCTCACGAATTGATTGATATCACATTTTAATTTCGAGGCCAAGACTTAAGAGTCCTTGTATCGAGTCTTATTTGTTTGGAGTTATCGTCATCATATCCTGGTCGGTGGCCTATGCTCCTCCACAAGGGGTATCAGGCGTAAACTAGACATTACCTTCAATGTATAATGACGTTTCGATCACAATGACGTAGGTGTGTACACTAATTGTCTTCTTTTAAACTATGAGATTAAAATCGCCTTAAGTCTTCCATTCTACCGACTAATTTTTTCTTCCTCATATACAATCTTTGTTTAATATATTGCTACCACTGAAGTAACTAGTTCTATGAATTTGGTGTTCATCTCGTGCTAATGAGGTGTGACAACTTGGACCGATGCATATATGTGCCTGGTCCTACGTTGTAACTGACTAACTGAGTATAGATAAGCATTCTTATCAACTACATTTATAAGCTTTATTGCCGAACTGTATAAAAGCAAAACTACTTTTGTTAGGTGTTTAGAAGAATTTATTAGAAATGTTTGGAAATAGGTTTCTTGATGGTCACCGCCCAACTTGGTGTATCTGCGATGTTAGAGGAAATGATGCTGTACCATAGATTTAAACTTATTGCCTAATCAACGTAGTGCTTATTATGAAACATGAAGACTCTGGATCCGATCTTATGTAAACCTAAGACTGTACTTTTGAGAAACTCCAGGTTGGGACAAACAGTTTTTTAGTGCATGCAATTATACTTCGTTTAGTTCATGAAAATATATCATTTTCGAAGTAATTTTATAGCTATTGTAAATATCGATATAATGAATATGTTGATAAAGGGGCCTAGCGGTCCACTATTAAATATCTACTAAGGCGTTGTGATAAACTAATTACTCTTTAGGAAAAAGACGGTTTGTATATTTTATTATTATGGATTATACAGTTTGCTAATTATGATTTACATTATGTAACATGACACATTTGAAATAATCCACGTGAAAGTTAGTCTACAATATATATATAAAGTTAAAAGTGGTATTAGCCTGGGCGATCCTTCCATTTCCTAGGTTTCAGTGTCCTGTTTTACGTTTATCGTGAAAAGTATGATTTTCGTTGACATATCTGATATGCTTGAACTAAGTCGATTTCGCGGTAACGAACGAAAGGCCAATGACACGATAAGCTAATCTAATCTGTTGTCCCAGGCCCCGCTAACTAGATAAAGAAGTCCAAGGTAAAGTAAAGGAATATATATTTCGAAATCAGCCGAGTACAAGCGAGTCCTATGGGGAAAAACTCAAGCGTATATATACAGCAACAAATTGTCCTTGGACATCATTATAAAATAGCACAATCAAAGAAACAATGGACCAATAGCGTTTATGATAGTTTACAAGTGGGAAATATGACGTAAAGGTAAAAAGAGCGCTTTCGGCGCAAAAACAGTTAAATTCAAGTTTTCAAAATAAAATTACAAAATTAATCCATTTATCAAGTAAGTTCTGGGGATTTGACATCCCTAACAATATCAAGCCCGTGTCTAAGATTCCGTTATCGAGAAATAATAATACAATTTACTAAGCAGCTGAATCTACAGTCGATTATGCTAAAGCACCTAAATAATATTTGATACTTGATGGTTATAATGAGTTTCTAAGTATTCTTTTCTCAAATCTTGTTTCCATATACATACAAGAATTTCAGATCGCTTGGACCTTACCATGATTTAGATTTACTTTACTTTAATTTCTGTTCATAAACTTCAGTCTGTTACGTTAAAAAAATTTCAGATCAATTGGTTAATATCTGGTAACTTTTATATTTACATAGGGGTTTTTGTAATCAGTATAAATAAGAAATTTATCGCTTTATTCAAACACAGCATGACTTTGTATTGCAGTAGCTACGACAACTGAAGTTACATAATAAATTCTGAAATATCTGAACTGGTAAATTGTTCACTAAATTGACTCTCATGTTTCAACAAAACAAATTTCTGAATTTAAAACAAGTATCCTTAAGTGATTCAACGAATATTATTAGAAAATTAGGTGTATTGTTTTTAAGTAAAATATCGTATTAAACTAGCGGGATTTTGATTTATTTAGCAGCTAACAAACGTTAAGTAAGAAAATAAATACCATAAAGCAACCGATTAGGCTTTACTTGTTTCAGTGGCATTACCATTCCTTTTTTGTTTAGTGTATTGTCCATAGGTTTTAATGTAGGCAGATTGATGAAGATTATTTTTAAGAAGTCGGCTGACTAGTTTATGTGTTTCACTGAACTATTAGTCGGTATTTATCACCTAGAGATAGAAATCAATTCAGTTAATGTGGAATAAATAGTACGAATCTTTCCTCTAATCAAGTTTAACCAATATTAGTATGAACAGACTGAATACGGGTTTTTTTCGTAATTTATCGTTTTGTGCATTCCAGAAGTCAGTACATATACTATTGTTGAATCTCGTCAAATAAAATGTTCAATCATTGATCTTTTCAATTCTATCGTTTATCCTTTCAAAAATAAATCTGACAGTGGTTATTAACTGCCTTACATTGATCGGGTAAATTTAGAACAAAAAAGTGACACTCTCGTTCTACGGATTGACATACAGACATGTTAGAAGTATTCCACAATAAAACGACAGCGATACAACAATCATTTCGTATCTCTAATTTAAGGCAATATTTATTCATACGTTACATAAAATCCTGTATGTACTTCTATACGTTTCAGAGTTGGAATATCATTTAACGCACTGTGATGTTTGTACAAACTCTGTTGTTTCTTACATTATCACGGATAACGTGTTCTTGAGTACATTGTATCTGGTAGCGTTCCAATCGCTCAAAGCTTTAAAGAGTGCCATCAGAACATATAAAAGAGAAACGTACTGCCATTATTCAGTTAGTGATTTTCATTTCCTTAAGGATCAGAAGCCGTATATTCAATATGTATGTTGTAGAAATGGCTTTTGAACACCTAGCGGATCCTCACAGCCGATTAGACGAAGGAGGTAATTTAAATAGTGTTATTGTATTGTTCATAAATGACTGCTATGAGCCCTTAATGTCCGGTCCTCATTTGTTATAAGTTTATTGAAGGTTATTGAATTTTTGT